CAAGGCAAATGGCTCTTCTCTAGATGCAATATAAGAGCTTCAGCGTATGTTTAGGTGCTGAACCCCATACGTGGGATCATTATTCCAGAACAGGCTTCCTAGATCATGAGAAGCTGTTGAGGTGTAAAGTAGATTCTCGCACGAAATAAAAATCCGAGTTATTGTGAAGCAGATTCCGCGATGGATCTGACATGATTTTTCCATGAAAGAGTATTGCTGATGGAGGAAAGAACGCAGTATGGAGAGTATTATCATGTGCAAATCTGTGGATAGGGCAAGTGATTAATCCCAACAGATCATTCATATGAATAAGTACGAACAAAATGTTGGTGCCAAAATTGATCCTTGTGAAAAGCCGGCATTGATGGCTATGGTATCAAACGATACTTTGTCAACCACCATGATGGAAATATAATATGGTTTGCTACTCAGGTATCTTGAATTCGTCTTTTCTGCGCATAACGTCATTGCAAGTCTCTCTCATCAAAATGATCACGGCGACTCGGACGAATTGATAACTGCGAGCTCAAATTGCGAACAATTGTTTTCCTCGCAGTGACGTATACGAAGATGCGTCGTAGCACACCATACTATATTTCCACCATATCCACCACCACATGGAGTGATCTGCCTGAGAGAAAACTCGACAAAAGCTGGTATAGCTGGGAGGGGGGGGGTAAGCCGTATGATAGTAGTTTGTGGAGAACAGTGACGGCTCGTGCCCTCAGAACCTGGGTCGGCCAGGGTATAGATATTGCTCTAAAATGCGAACGTAACACGTTGGGTCAGCGGCTTGAGTGAAGTTCGATGGCAAATAAGCATGTACAGGGTGATTCACCATAATTGTCCCCCCTCTAGCTCACTTTATTTTTGACCCGATTTAAAAATTTGAAGGATGATCTCAAATGATTTCTCAGATTTTTTTTCCCGTTTCATCAGGAACTACAGGGTGCTCGGAACAAATGATCTACAGAGTACTACTCGACACCCTGTATTTCATTGTATTCTTAGATTCCTCCTGAAGAGCTGATTTCATCAATGCATCACACTTGGGGTCTAGCGGGAATGATAACAGAGATATAGGGTGTTCAAAATCGAGATATTTCAAGTTTAGGATTTTTTTGTCTCGAAACTATTCATTATTGGTCGAAACGGCTCCTATGTTTCCATCTTAATTTTTGATTAACTGTCTATTGAGATTTGATTGGAACATTTACAGGGTGGTTCAAGATTCAGAATTCTGATCACCCTGTATCTGTTCCAATTATTAAATGTCAGTAGATAGTAAATCAAAAGTTGAGATATGGACATGAAAGCCGTTTTGACCGATGATGAATAGTTTCGTCTCAAAAAAATCCTAAAGTTGAAAAATCTCGATTTTGAACACCCTATATCTCTGTAATCATTCTCGATAGACCCCAAGTGTGATACATTGAGCAAATCAGCTTTTCAGGGAGAATCTAAAAATACAATGAAAAATAGGGTGTTTCATATAAAAAAATCAAATGGTACCCTGTAGATCGTTTGTTCTGAGCACCCTGTATTTTCTGATGTAGCGGAAAAAAACTCAATCAAAAATCATTCAATAAGATGATATTTCAAATTTTGAAATCGGTTTAAAAATAACTGAGCTAGAGGGGGGACATTTATGGTGAATCACCCTGTACACATAACCAAAAAATTAAATTGTCCAGCAAGAACCACGAGGTTAGAGCATTTCTCGCCAGGGGAAATGGGGAAAGGAGGTGGATAAGGGTCAGTTGGTATGAAAAAATAATAAGAAAGTCGAAAAAATAACGTAACGTAAACTCAAAAAAATCAACATAACCAACAACCACTCCAACGCGAAAAGCACAACAATGACTAAATCGGTCTACGCTCTACGTCGTTCCTGTAACAAGCCACCCCACTCCTTCGTAGTCGGCTGGCCGAGCCCGCCGTGCAGCCGTAGGTATAATCAGGAGTGTATAATCTCTGGTATAATGTTTCCCGCGATGGATGCATAAATGTTATTTATAACCGCTACATGCGTCTTTGAAAATAAATGATATTCTGGAAGTTATACATTTATTACATTTTTGTCACCAGAGCTTTTTTACGATGTTTCAATACCTACTCAGCTCTTGGATAGGCAGAGGCACAGTAGGTTACATTACAATATTCAAAGTGAATTATAACTTATTGACGCTCAGAGGCACTGAAGGAAAATTCTGATACCAATATTAGATGGATATGTTGAATTATGAATCACTGAAAAATTGCTAATTCAAAAATCACCAGTCATTTTTACTGCAACTACTGCAAGCGTGAACAAAAACATCGAATTTTTTTTTTTTTTCAGTTTGTACATTTCAAATTTCAACATCAACTTACAAATAAGTATAGGAATAAAAATTATAAATACCTACAATGTAAATGAAAATAGAATGTCAATCATGCCAATCCGTATATTAAAAATTAGGTCGGAATGGTCGGATACGGTGCACAGCGAGCGCCATAGAGAAACGAATTGGTTTGTCTATGGCGAGCGCACTGTACGCTGTGATAACGTACGTAAGGACGGCCAGCAGAGCTTGGCCGCACCCAAGGTATGACGCGTAACGTTCGCGTATAAGCGAGAATTCAAACTTGAAGCGGGGAATCTGTAGGCGATGCGTCGAGATTGGTCGAGACAAGAAACCACCGATCGGCCGGCCGTCTGCATCAGTGTAATGAGCTACGCGAGCGTTTCAACTTGAAGCGGCGTTTTGACGATGGGATTACCAGATGTCGTAGGTCCTGAATTAGTTCGTGATTTTCGGAGTATGTGCGGATGGCATACTCAAAGGTTCCACTGGTTCCAGTGAATGAAATTGAAATAATAGTGGCATAACAGTAGGATAATGAACGATGAATTATGAAAACAGTTTCGGAAAATAATTGTATTCATCAAATAGTTCAGTAATTTTCCCCAAATTATTTGGTACGGCCCGGCCGACCCTGCCGTCCCTGACGAGCCGTCACTGGTGGAGAAGGAGAACTCCCTGGTGCCAAACACGGTCGAATGCTTTCGATATACAGGCTGATCTACGGTGGATGGCCTATTAGAAGTATCTGGAGAACGAGAAGACAGAACATTCTGAAAATTTGGATGCTTTGATAATTGAACATTCTCTATCCGTCTAAAATATTTTCATCGATACAGTGTTATAATAGACCACCCTGTATTTTATTGAATTTTTAGATTCTCCTTGAAAAGCTGATTTCATCAATGTATCACACTTGGGGTCTAGCAGAAATGATTCCAGAGATATAGGGTGTTCATAATCGAGATTTTTCAATTTCAGGATTTTTTTGTGTCGAAAGTATTCATTATTGATCAAAACGGTTTACATGTCCCTATCTTAACTTTCGATTCACTATCTACTGACATTTAATTGGAACAGATACAGGGTGATCAGAATTCTGAATCTTGGAGCACCCTGTATTTTTTCCAATCAAATTCCAGTAGATAGTCAATCAAAAGTTAAGATAGGGACATGTAAGCCGTTTTGATCGATAATGAATAGTTTCGACACAAAAAAATCTTAAAATTGAAAAATCTCGATTTTGAACATCTTATGTCTCTGTAATCATTTCTGCTAGACCCCAAGTGTGATACATCGATGAAATCAGCTCTTTAGAAAGAATCTAAAAATGCAATAAAATACAGGGTGTTCCATTTGAAATAACAAAGTTGCTAGTTGTTTCTGATAGAAGTGGCAACACTGTATCGATGAAAATATTTCAGATGGATAGAGAATGTTCAATTATCGAAGAATCGCAATTTTCAGAATGTTCTGTCTTTTCGTTCTCCAGATACTTCTAATAGGCCATCCACCGTGGATCACCCTCTGATGAAGCTTGCAATATATGCGTGACATAGGCAAGTAAATCTCCAGTTGATCTTCGATGGCGAAAGCCATATTGTCTGTCATTGATGATTCCTGAGCTTTTCAGATATTTGATAAGCTCAATGTTGATGGCTTCCTCTATCACTTTGGTGACAGGGCAATAGGCCTATACATAGTTGTTGGGCAGGATTTCGTTTCCTTTTTTTCGGGATTGGTGGGACTATCTTTATTCGTTTGGACACCAAGCAAAATGCGTCTGATGGTGCGTTGGCAGAAGACGATTTCGGGCATTCCATCGCAAAAGCTGCTTCACAAAAACTCGGATTCTTGTTCCTTGCGAAAAGCTACTTTACACCTCAACAGCTTCTCATGATCTACAAAGCGCAGATAAGGCCTGTTCTATGATACTGTTCCCACATATGGGGTTCAGCACCAAAACATACGCTGATGCTCTTAGACTATGTCCAGAGAAGAGCCATTTGCCTGGTGGGTGACGCCACACTCACTCACTCTTTGACATCATTGGAACACCGTAGAAAGGTCGGCAACCTTTCACTTTTCTATCGATACTTCCACGGGAAATGTTCTTCGGAAATCTCTGCTATCATCCCTTCACTAGCAATAACAAGCAGACGAACTAGACAAGCCCAGTCAGCACATCCTTTCGTCGTCAACCTCGAAAGATGTCGAACAGCACTTTATCAAAACTTCTTCATCCATAGAACGGCTAAGCTCTGGAATTCATTGCCTGAGGAAGTATTCCCAACAACATATAATCTCCAGAAGTTAAAAAATACCTACCTCCTGTCCCTATCCTCCCTAGGAACGCATGATGTTCTTTGAACATTATAGGGATTTCCTTTCTTGCGCTCCAAGCGATAAAGAAAAATTCGACTTTCAACGGGTGGAATATCTGGCGGCACCCTTCCCTCAGAATCTAATGGGTAGTTTGCTGCGAACATCTCTGCAAAAATGTTTGCTTTAGCTTGCGATATGAAGTTTTTTTAAATGGGCCCAAAAATCATCGCCTCAAATATTGACATTCATTCAGCAAACACCCTGTGTTGATTGAAAATGTTGACATTCATGGTTTCAGCATTGTTTTAATAAGCAGTTACTTGCTTTCAGATTTCCTCACAATTTGAAGAGGTTTATGTGAATTGTACAGCCATCAAATCTCCCACTGCTATTTATTCTAAAATAGCTGCAGCATTGAAATTGAAAATAAATGGAAAAACTAAGAAAGATTACCTAACAGGAATTGAAAATTATTTGAAGAAAAAACACCGCATGATGTAAGTACAGTTATTGTTGGCGGAAGAAATATAATGCCATTTGGAAGTAAAATATGTCCTTAGATTTCCATTGTACTGTGATGATCTACATAATTCACCAATAGCTCAAGAACTGATATGTTTGCCTTCCAATTAATTTACGGAAAAATTACATTTTTTAATCAAATATGTTCCACTAGGGTTACGTAGAGTTCCTTAATGTATTTGACACGTTTGTATTGACGTTTTTGTATATTTAGAGTACAGACATTCTGACAGGCACTGACACCCAGACATAACCACAAATAAATAGATGACTGAAGCGGGACCTGACAAGACATGAACTTACATGACATCAATTCCAAAGGTTTGCCGAATTGAGAACAAATAATGAGATGAAAGTTTGTGATTTTTCTAACTGTGAAAATACCAGATATTGATTTACTTCATTCATTTCCATCAAATTGAACACTGTTACACAAATGGAAATGAAACATGAAGCGACCGGCGTAGATTATAGGTTCAACCAATAACTTTTTTTTTGAACATTGGATATTATTTTTCGCATTTCTCTTAGGTGCACTTCAGACCAGAATATTTGATAATGAACAGCAGAAACGTATTGAGAAGGGAATCTGAACCTATAATTTATATAAATTGATAGTAAAAAAAATATATATAAAAAGCTTTTATTCAAACGCTCTAAAAAGAACAACATAAAATGTTCCTTTATGATTTTTACTATCAACTTATAACCTCATTATACACAATTTATATGATCATAAAAGCTTGTCGCGCGATTTACTTGTGTGAATAAACTAGTACTAATTTAATTTTGTAAAAGTTTAAATTGTTAAAATTTCAATTCAATTAAATATTGATCATCGTTCTCGTAATAATATTCCCTAGTTATTTCTTTCGAATTATTCCTCGCATGATAAAAGTTATTTTTACGCCGGCGGGAGTAGAAGTTAGTTTCTCTGGTAACAAAAGAGGGACAGAAATCTCGTATTATTCCCTAGGGAGATAATGTGACATATTTTCTCCCTAGGGATTTTATACCAACTTTACATTTTCCACATAGCTCTGCGCTTTCTTTTCGGAACACCCTTCTCTGAAGTGAGTATAAGCTGCATCATACAGATTTCTAGATCTCACTGGTAGCAAGTTAAGAATCACTGCAGAAGCAGTATCAATAATTTCTTGGGGTTTTCCCTCGATTTCTTATTCCATAACCGTTAACCATTTTCAAAGCTATTTTCATAAATTTCAGTTTGGTATTTGCTGTCACCATGGGTTGTCAACAAGATGCATGTTGTCAAGATACGAATTCCACAAACTATACTACTCTCAGGACAGAATGCTATTTTTCCCTCGGTGCTTGGAAAAAATCTTGCATTTCTGTCCCTTGATGTATAATGTACTATTTTGTTCAGGACAATTATTCTTCACTATACTAAGTTCAAAATATTTCAGTGTTCCACATGATAATTTTTTCTAGGATACCCGTTCTATACACAAAATAAAACAAGTATGTCAATTTCATTAACAGATAATATATCAGTAACTCTGCTGGACTACAGTAAGCTGCTTGGTACTTGAAATATCAATGTTGCTACTACTTTCTAGTAGAAACGACACTACTAGAAAGTAGTAGTACACCCTGTATTTAACAATTTTGTTTCAACTCAAACAAGATCTACTAGATGAAAATAATGTATAGAGCTTGTGGAGAGTATCATACATAAAGGCTTGCATTGAAGCAAGAAAACACATTTTTGTATTGTTACTTTATGTTCCTAGTTACGTACTTGCCTATTATCATTTGATTTTCCTTTTTTATTCTAACATATACCTATTCTTTTTCCTTGTTATTCATTATGTGAACACTAAAGAATTATGTTTATAAATGTATTCCACAACATCCTGTTTGTTATATTGAATTTCTCATTTTGTTCATCAAACTTCTATAAAAAAAAACTGGCGTGCGTAGAACTTCTATGGTATAGATACACTGCTCATTATGCCGGTCTTATGGTACGCGGCACCCGGGACGCGAGTTTGCCGTTTTACTCCCATCCCAGAAAACGTCCAATGTTCTTAGGATTTATTATCACTTCAAAAATGTGTCATGAGAAAAAATCCAAAGACCTGAAAGATTAGGAATATTTTTGGGTCTGAAGGGCGGCGCGTCCATCATGTGAAATGTGGTGTACCACAAGGCTCGATCCTGGGCCCCACTCTCTTCTTAATATACCTAAATTCCATAGCAAACTTGGAAATCATTGGATATGTTATACTATATGCTGATGATACCATAATTGCATATTTCGGTGAAACTCATAGCACAGTTATCGAGAATATCAAACAAGACTTATCACAGCTGACGAAATGGCTACTCTGCCACAAACTTACATTGAATACTAAAAAATCATCTTTTATGTGGATAACCACAAGCACTGTACCTGATTATGTTAAGAATGAAATAACTTGTCAAAGTGGATCACTTCAATATAAAAATGAAATTAAGTTCTTGGGACTGATAATTGATACAAAACTCTCCTGGCAAGCACATCTAGAATATATTAGGAAAAACATTGTTGGGCCAGTGGGTATTCTGAGAAGATTAAGCTACTCTGTCCCAAGTTACATTCTGAGATCTGTGTACTTTTCCCTAATACATTCACATTTGCAATATCTGACAATAATTTGGAGTAATACATATGAGAGTTATTTAAAACCACTTAAAATCCTGCAAAACAAATCAATTAGAAACTTATATAATCTGCCATTAAGATATTCAACTTTGAATCTTTATGAGAATTACAATATTAGATTACTGGGAAGCTTATATACTTTTCAAGTGAATGTATTTATACATCAGATAGTAAATAGTGCTAGACATTCACAAATTACATTCCAAACTAGAGAGGAAATTCACAGATATAATACTCGAAACTGTAGAAATTTTCAAGTCCCAAGAGTAATGACAAAAGGAGCTACAGAGTACAACAAAATACCACTAAATATAAGAAAAGAAGGTGTCAAAAAATTCAAATATTTGTTGAAGTCTCACATTCCACTTAAGTTATGATTTATGATTTGTACAGCTAGCGTTAGGAGATTAGGAGTTTGGATTAGAAAGGGAAACTATTAGATACTTGAATATAGCATATATTATAGTTCAGTGGAAAAGGTTACCCATATATTACTATTGTACCAACTACGGTATATTCACTAAATTGATAGCAGGTTTTAATCAATAATTTAATTATTGTGTCAAATATTATGTAATATGTGAAACTGACTTGTGACAGAGGTGTTCCTAGATGACATTTTTATGTTTTTTGGAACGTAATAAATTCATTCATTCAATCATATAGCACCAGGCGGTAAATCACCTTAAACCGGCACTGCCTACTGTCACTGCCTGTCGAGTGTCCGTACTCTATATACAAAAACGTCAAAACAAATGCGTTAAATATATTTTTCTACATTCATGCAAAAAGCAGAACTTTATTGAACTATATTTAGTGGAAAAAGAAGTTCTTTATTGCACTTAGTGCAATAAAGTTTTTATTTCACTCATCTGTCATTCTACTTCAACGTGCTGTCATCATGACAAACATTTTTTATATTGCAACTGTGGTTATAGAAACGTCGGTCGAAAATTAATGCTGACAATTAACAGAATTGTACCTAGTGCCGCACCTCAATAAATAATTTTTTGCTTTTTGCATGAACGTAGAAAAAATGTTGTATGCAACTCGTGCAAAAATTGTTTATTGCACTTGTTGCATAACTAACTATTAGGAACTCTTGCTTCAGGTACACAATATAAACAAAAATATCGTTCATTTTATTATGGTCTAGTGACTGATATTTTTGTGATAGTTGAGAAATTATCGAATTAAATATGAAAACATGTGAACCAAAATTTTTGGTAACATACTAATTTTCAATGTTTTTTGAAATTATCTTTCATGGAATGAATTATTGAATAATTTATTTTTCAGCCTATTAGTATTGGATGAAATCGATCAACTTGAAAACAAAAATCAGTCTATCCTATACACCATCTTTGAATGGCCCTCAAAACCCAACTCGCAACTTATACTAATTGGCATTGCTAATGCTTTAGACTTGACTGATAGAATCCTACCAAGACTTCAAGCTAGCTGTGAATTGAAACCACAACTAATGCATTTTCCACCTTATACCAAGCAACAAATTATAAACATTTTCACTGATCGCTTGAAAGCGGCAGGTGTTCTTGATGTATTTTCTGAACCAGCCCTCCAGTTGCTCGCTGGAAAAGTTGCTGCAGTTTCTGGAGATGTAAGGAGGGCCTTAGATATTGGTAGGAGGGTAATAGAGCTAGTGGATCAGAGTAGAACATCCGAAGCTTTGCAACCCATAGAAAATGTAACGAATTTGCTTGTTGAAGCAGGAATGAAAACTGTGGAGATGAAAGAAGTTATGAACGTAATGAATAATGTGTATGGTACTTCCCAAACCTTGACAGAATCATCAGAAGACACTTTTCCTCTGCAACAGAAGATTATAATTTGTTCGTTGTTGTTGATATTGAAAAAGGCAAAAAATAAAGATGTGACAGTAGGTAAACTGCATGAAGTGTACCGCAGAGTATGTACAAAGAGGCATATCAATGCTGTGGATCAGGCCGAGTTTGCAGGATTATGTTCATTAATTGAGACAAGGGGGATCATCAGGGTGTCTGGGAAGAAAGAGCCTCGTCTACATAAGGTTAGTTTGGAGTGGGATGAGGAGGAAGTCGGTTCTGCTTTGAAGGACAAGCAGTTGATGTCTATAATTTTACAAGATGATAGCTGCTTAGGTAAACTTTAAATTTTGGAAGATTGTATCATTCGATTTTATTTATTGACAAATATTTAATAAAGTGAATTTTTAATATTATGAGATGATTCATTGTGAACGTTCAGCCCAGTGACGGCTCGTGCTCTCAGAACCTGGGTCGGCCAGGGTATAGATATTGCTCTAGTTCGTCAACTTAATTTTTTGGATTAAAATGAAAGAGAGAAATGCGAACGTAACACGTTGGGTCAGCGGCTTAAGTGAAGTTCAATGGCAAATAAGCATGTACAGGGTGGCCAACTAAGAATCCAGAGTTCGATACCTCTGTTGTCTTGAGAGATACTAAAAAAAAAGTTTTGCATTCAAATTAAAGTGATAACCAAGCTTCACATTTCAAAATTTCTTCGAAATACACAGGGTGTTCCGTAAGGTTGTGCTGTGACCTTACAAAGCTATGTTTTTTTTTCATTGGAACACCCTATATTTTATTTCATTTCTGGATTCTCCCTGAAGATCTGATTTCAACGACCTATCATACTTAGGGTCTAGCAGTGAAAGTTACTGACATATAGGGTGTGCAAAATCGAGATTTTCCAAGTTCAGGATTCTTTTCTGTCGAAACTGTTCATGATTCGTCAAAACGGTTTACATGTCCCTATCTCAACTTTTCACTCACTATCAATTGGTCAAAAAAATTCTGAAATGTGAAGCTCGATTATTACTTCAATTTTGATAGATAACTTTTTTCCGTATCTCTCAAGACAACAGAGAAATCGAACTCTGGAGTCTTAGTTGGCCACCCTGTACACATAACCAAAAAATTAAATTGTTCAGCAAGAACCACGAGGAGGTTAGAGCATTCTGGCCAGGGGAAATGGGGAAAGGAAAAGGAGGTGGATAAGGGTTAGTTGGTATGAAAAAATAATAACAAGAAAGTCGAAAAAATAAAATAAAAGAGAATAAAATAACTCGTGAACAAAAAATATTTATATTCTGTTGAAAACGTAACGTAAACTCAAGAAAATCAACATAACCGACAACCACTCACCTAACGCGAAAAGCACAACAATGACTAATCTCAAATCTGTCTACGCCGTTCCTGTAACAAGCCACCCCACTCCTTCGTAGTCGGCTGGCCGAGCCCGCCGTGCAGCCGTAGGTATAATGTTTCCCGCGATTGATGCATAAATATTATTTATAACCGCTACATGCGTTTTTGAAAATAAATGATATTCTGGAAGTTATACATTTATTACATTTTCGTCACCAGAGCTTTTTTACGATGTTTCAATACCAACTCAGCTCTTGGACTGCTGACATTTTTCTTGCCATATTACTTACATAGGCAGAGGCACAGTAGGTTACATTACAATATTCAAATTGAATTATAACTTATTGACGCTCAGAAGCACTGAAGGAAAATTCTGATACCAATATTAGATGGATATGTTGAATTATGAATTACTGAAAAATTGCAAATTCAAAAATCACCAGTCATTTTTACTGCAACTACTGCAAGCGTGAATAAAAACATCGAAAATCGAAATTATTTTTTTTTTCAGTTTGTTCATTTCAAATTTCAACATCAACTTACGAATAAGTATAGGAATGAAAATTTGAATACCTACAATGTAAAATGAAAATATAATGTCAATCATGCCAATCCGTATATTAAAAATTAGGTCGGAATGGTCGGATACGGTGCACAGCGAGCGCACTGCAAACTACTGATTACGTACGTACGGACGGCCGTCTGCCAGCAGAGCTTGGCCGCACCCAAGGCACAGTATAGAAGGTATGATATGACGCGTATACGCGATAATTTAAACTTGAAGCGGGGAATCTGTGAGCGATGCGTCGAGACAAGAAGCCACCGATCGGCCGGCCGTCTGCATCAGTGTAATGAGCTACGCGAGCGTTTCAACTTAAAGCGGCGTTTTGACGATGGGATTATCAGATGTCGTAGGTCCTGAATTAGTTCGTGATTTTCGGAGTATATGCGGATTGCGGATGGCATACTCAAAGGTTCCAGTGAATGAAATTGAAATAATAGTGGCTTAACAGTAGGATAATGAACGATGAAATATGAATTATGAAAACAGTTTCGGAAAATAATTGTGTTCATCAAATAGTTCAGTAATTTTACCCAAATTATTTGTTACGGCCCGGCCGACCCTGCCGTCACTGGTTCAGCCCATTCTCTGTAATTCCGATGAGAACTTCAATCTTGTCTCACCCATAGAAATCACTTTCAAGACCAAGGCATCAGATCCCGATATCAATATGCCTTGTTAAATTGAAATCGCTCTGCGTTGGAGTACCAACATTTTTAACAAAAATAAAATAGTACCTAAATTACATATAACTAGTGTGAAAAGTGGCATGTTTCCTGCTAGTGTCCGTTTAGCACGAGCCGCATAGTGGAGAGTGCAGAAACGAAACGAGCGCAGGAAATGCACTTTCCAACGAGTCGTACACCATTTCTTAACGTACATTAACTTAACGTTAACCTAACTTTGACTCAACATTAGTATATTGCATCTGGGTATCCTGTACTGTAGGTATTAGTGTAAGAAGAATGTATTGTGAGAAACAGCGAATGTGCGATTTTCGAATATTTCAATACGTGTGCTTCTTATTTTCTAATTGCTACGGTGACATGTGTAGCAGATTCGACATCGTTGAGGACTTTGTAAAATTCATTTGAGTAGGCTCTATTATTTTTCGAACAAAAAAAATTATAACAATTTTGATTTGTCACTCAGTGTCATTTATTGCGAATTTCATATATTTCAATAAAAACTACGTTTGAAAGTCTATTGAGCCATTGAGCTGACTCTTTGACATTTTGCCGACGACTACACTACATTTTGGTCCTTATGACCAGGCAGATACGGCGAAGAAAACGTAGAGAATCCAACTAAATTATATTCGTTATTGTGAAGCTTCCGGTTTTTGAATCCCTCACGATTCTGATTCAAATTCATGTATCATCCTCTATTGTTGAAAACCATTCCTCACAATCCTTTAGTAATGAAGAACTTGATCTTTTGAGTAAAGGCCTCCGCGATTCAATATATTTCTCTAATTCTTCAAAAGGATTTGCCAGAGATTCAGTTAGGAAACAAATTTCCAAAAATGTAATCAATTATAAACATACCTTTCAACGGAAAACTCAGAATATTATCAAACGATTGAGAGCTTATAAAGCCGATAAGGGTAATAAGGTTATTATCTTGATTAAAGAAGATTATTTTCAAAGGATTGACAATCTCATTGAAGATGGTCCTTATAGAAAAATTAACAAGAAATCCACTACCTAAAATTGTCAGTCAGATCAAATCAACTTTGAAAAAATGCCCGAACCTTATTACCTACCTACATCACAAAAAATTACATTACAAATATATCTAACCCAAGTATACTAAGATTGTATTGTTTACCAAAAATAAACAAACTCGGTGAGAAAATGAGAACGATTGTATCCGCAATTGGGTCTCCTATACTTACAATATTTCAAAGTGGTTGGTTGAAGTTTTCAAAACTTTTAATAATCCTTACATTCTTTGTCAAATTCGCTTGAATTCATCGAAAAGGTCAAAGGTTAGAATCTGACCGAAGGCGAAATCCATATACCATTGGACGATAGAAAATAAAAGTACGCCACCTATCGGAGTTCTTGAAAGCTGTCAAAGCGGCATGTTTACTTTGTTTTCATTGGTTCACATTTGTTTTTTGTTTGTGTTTATTGGTCATATCATCAAAACAAACCGCTCAGAAGTGTTCAAGCTGCTGCCGTCAGGTGGGGCGACGTGTTATTTTCTATCGCAAATACCAACAACTTTTTGGTACGTTTGAGGAAATTACTCGAATATAACAACCTTGATCCGGCATCCGGATAATATTACGGAATTGGTCAATCTCGCAAAAATCTGCATGAGCCAAAATATTTTTCAATACAAACAAGAATTTTTGAGCAACATGAAGGTACAGCAATGGGTAAATGTTTTAATGTTTATCACCTTTCTTGGCTGAACTGTTCATGAATCAGTTTGAAGCGAATGCAACAAACATTAGTAGAGTATTTCCCTAGAGTTTGGATTAGATATGTCATGATATTTTTCATATTTGTGATACGAAAATCACAGATACAAGTTGCGTTTGTTTCATATCAAACCGGTTTCGTCATTCCTGTCGTTTCATTGCACACAATATTCCTTACAGAATGATCGGAATGACAGTTTACGGTCGAGTTGGCTGACACAATGTCATTCATCAATATTTGGCGTTTGTTTGGTAACCCGAATATTCTCCAACCGGTTTAACAGGAAACAAACGCAACTATAGATAATTTCATTCAAAATTGGATAATTGCTTCCCCTCTATCAATTTCACTTTTTAATGGGAAAATAACGGTCAATTACCATTCTCATATGTTCCTGAGTTCAAAAATGACGAAAACAACTTAGAATTTGATGTTTCTAGGAAAGAAACTAACACACTTATGGATACATAACTAATGACTCCAATCACTGTTTTTAACACAAAATAGCAAGTTTAATTTTCTCGTACATATTATTATACAAGTTTTATTTCCTCTGAGCAAAGAAAATTCGATGTTGCGAAAGAGGTGTTGTTTATAAAGTGGCTTGCGTCAATGGTTATGATATCAAAATAGTAGATAAATCAATAGTAGGCATAAATTTAAGTTGACACTTCGGAATTCTAATACTTCAAACGGATAAAAACAATTCGAGAAGAATCCCAATTTTGTTCAATCCCGAATACGATACGAAGGTTTTAAAAGACTCGGGTTTCGAAAACGTTTATTCAGTCTCTGGGTCAAAATTAGGCAATTTATCAGGCAATCCCTTCGATCATACAGGTAATCCAAAAGATGAGGTGAACACACTCGGCGAAAACTCAGGAATATACGAAGTTAGTATGTAATGATTGTGATAAAACGCATATAAGCCAAACCAGGCAAACCTTGAAAACAAGGTTCAAAGACCACCTCTAGCACATATGAACTATATGGTATAGAGGTTAGATAAATCGTGTGTAGCCGAACGAGCCGAACACATAATTGATCACATTCATAACACACATATCATATTAATTACCTCAAATTAGTTAGCAATTAGTTAATAATTTTAAGAAATTAGATGCATGCATATGAAAGCCAGAGATATTTAGGAATAGTAATAGAGGAATGAATAAAAATAATAATGGACCTATTTCATATAGCCCTTAGCCCTCTCCCAGATAGCATAATGTCATTCATAAAACGTTCATAGTATATTCTTCGAGAATATTTGAATATTCTCAGAATATTCTCACAATATGATACAAATATTCTATAGGGATGTTTTATGAACATTTGGAATGGACTGTTTAAAATATTCTAAGAATATTCCTAGTATATTATTGAAGGAGAATGAGGAAAATGAAAAAAGCTTGCTCCAGTGGAGATGCGAAACTACTATCTTGTGATTAAATGTTTAGGAACCTGTATCAAATCATTTATTCATCCTCAAGTTTTTACAGTACAACACATATTTCTGACACATTTATGTATGTAGTCTGCGGCATAGCTGATGGGTGCATGCCTAAACGTCCCTCCACAGTCGCAGAGGTGGCTGGTGTTGGCCAAGGAATATGAGAGAATATGTGAGGTGTTCGTCGCAGTGACCTATCTCCTAGGGCTAGGCCCTTTATACAGGTAATCTCGCTGGTGGTACCCATAGGGTGGGGAAGCTGCTCGTGCGCGATCAGAGTGGAAAGGGTTACTTTGATGGTGGAGGAAAAATAAAATTAAAATAATAAAAAACCTCCTTCTTAGCTTTACCAGGCTTTACGAACCTGAAACCTCAACCACTTATAGCGACGAACCTTATTGACGAATGAAATGAATAGCAAGATGACAACTTAAGTATCCGTCAAGTATACTATATAGTTATCACATCACTTAGTATTTGTCAAGTAGGCTAGTTGACATTTAGGTATCTGTCAAGTATCCTAGTTACCACTTAGTATCTGTCAAGTATGCTACTTATCACTTAGTATCTGTCAAGTATGCTACTTTATTGCCACTTAGTATCTGTCTATTAGGCTAGTTAACCATCAGTTAGTATCCGTCAAGTATACTTGTTACCACTTAGTATCTGTCAAGTATGCTACTTATTATTACTTAGTATCTATCAATTAGGCTAGTTGACATCACTTGAGTATCTATCAAGTATACTAGTTACCACTTAGTAACTGTCAAGTATGCTAGCTACTTATCACTCATAGTATCTGTCAAGTATGCGACTTACCACTTAGTATCTGTCAAATAGGCTAGTTGACAGTTATATCTGTCAATTATAAAAAAAATATATCATATGGCGCTTATTCTACATTCCTCATATCTAGATTGATATTTCCAAATATCTACGTTCATGGACTCTCTGCAAGGCTTGATAATGGTTAATCTTCATAGTTTCTTCAGAATTTCACTAAAAAAAGCACTACAAAACTTGGGGAAGGATTTTGAAACACATTATTCCCATATTATTTCCCATAGGTATAAACGTATAAACCCATGCAATTTCTCCTCCTCCAAGCAGATAAGCCACGCCAATTTGGTTACGTACCACAGACACAGATTAACAAATAAGGTTTGTTAATCTGTGCCACAGATGCCTTATTGCAAGTTATAACATGCAATTATAGATGATTGCAAGTTGTAACATGCAATTATATATATTACAACTTGCAGTTATGGCTAATTGCAAGTTGTAACATGCAATTATATAGATAATTGCAAGTTGTAACATGCAATTATAGATAATTGCAAGTTATAACATGCAATCATGGCTATTTGCAAGTTGTAACTTGCAATTAGCATTTTTTATTTAACAGTGTCCGCTCAGCGCGTTCGTATTCTTCGATTCTTGGGCATGACAAAATGATGGAATGAATTGAAATGTTTCTGGAAGGTTTCATGAATGATGGAAATGTTTAGTGGTAGGTTCATCAAAACTAAGAAGAAGAATTAAGAACAAAAAAAAGAAGAAGAAAGTATTTATCCTCAAAACTCAAATTATCGTTAACCATCAAAGTCCTCAAAAATTTGAATCAGAGTAGTTCTGAATTTGAATTAAATTGCATAGAAATACCATAGATCTGAAGAAATACTGAACGAAATGAGGAACTTACACGATTTTGAACTACCAAACGACGGAGAAATATCTCTTTGTGAAATAAATGGTCGTATTCATTCCATGAACTATGATTATGCAAACGTTAATGCATTTACTAACACTGTAAGTATTAGCCATAATTAATATATTTTTTGCTTGTGTTGTCTATACTTGTTTGTTCCAGGTGGATAACTTTCCTAAAATACACATTACCAGAGATTTGTTACATCCAGTTAGCTCAGGAGATGAGGGAAAAGCTTTGTTTATTCATGTAGATGTTTCATTTTTGAAACAACTAACACAAGTTTACTATGAACAGGGCTTTATAGAAGCTTTACATACAGCATCTTCACACAATAAAGTATTGATATCAAAGACTGCTGCAATAATTTTAGACGTTTTAAAAAATGTTCAAAAAGTTAGACTTATTTTGAATCCAAATTTGAGGTACAGTGGATCGAACCTCATTAGTCAGTTTTCACAAACAAGGAACTGGATGAATAACACTATCAGATGTATAGCATGGCATCCATACTGTGCTAAAGTAGCAGTGGCCACTTGTGATGACAGCATTAGAATTTTCAGTAGTGACAGTGGAACAGTTGTGCCCCTGCTAAGATGTAAACAACAAAAACATATTACCTGCTTATCTTGGAGGCCATTATCAAACACAGAGATTGCTGTAGGACATGAAAATGGAATTATTGTATGGAATATTGATTCTAATTCCTTGGTATGAAGACTCTTTTAATCCTTAATTGAAAATGAAATATTTCTACTAGGCATAAAAACTGTATTATAGTAATATGGTGATACTATGAAGGCACAGAACTGCCCTCCTAGAACAACTACTTTTACACAAATCTTTGCTGAATTAACAGTTGTTGAAATAATGCTAAATTAGGAATAATAGTTATTTAACCAACTAGTTTATTAATGAGGGTGATTAATGATCCAGATATTTTAACGTGCGAGCTAAGCGAGCGCGTTAATGTTCGAGATCATTAATCGCTTTTTAATATACAAGTTGGTTACAAAATTTTTCCATCGACTATATTTCTCATTTCTCCTGCAATGAAGAAAACTTGGTTCGCGAATTCATCATTCATCTGGAAACTGCTAAGAATCACCCAGTAGCCTTGTCACTGACATTAGTGTCATTTGACATTTGTCGAAATGATCAACATAGAAAATAAATTTTTTCTGTGACGGGAAAAAAGTTTGGCATTTCATCTCTGTTGGCAGGTTATAAAATGTCACTTTTCATAAATTACTTTTTTCCCGTGGGCAAAAAGTGAGTACTTCTTTCCCGGATATATATCACATATATATACTCTGTTAATGGCTTCTGTTGTGCTATAGTTCCGAAAAATGAGTCAATAATACCGTCTCCGAGAAAGAACTGAAAGTCCTTTTATCTTCCATTCGACTTCGCGGTTTCAAACAACTACTGAATTTGCAATTTTTCAAAATCAAATTACAGAATTGAACTGACAGAAGGTGACATCAGATATTTGATTACTTCAAAAGAATGATAAAGATGCCTATAAAACGCAGGTGTCCCTACTGTTAAAAACTTGAAATTTCACGTCGATAATTTTCAGATTTCGAAATAATGTAATATCTTCTCAAAATTGATTCGTCCTTCCTTCTGTCACAGAAAAAAATAGTGTATTATACACGGGAAAAATATTAGATTTTAGCTCACGGTTTTTTGTCTCCCTCCGCTACGCGTCGGGAGACAACACAACCTGGAGCTAAAATCTACTACTTTTTTCCCTTGTATAATAAATAACTATTGTTAGAAAACAGGGATTAAAATCGTGTCAGAAACTTGGAAAGGTGAACCCGTTAACAGAAAATCTTCAATGAAATCCATATTTTCGATTTAAATGCAGATTCGGTAAGTTATAGCATAAACAATGAATGCACGCGGTGTATGTTTGGTTGCTTATAAAACAATCTTACATTAATAGACAAATCGTTCATTAATAGGGGTCATTAATGAACGATTTCATATACATTAAACTTAGTCGTTAATACGAGGTCCACGGAAAAAAACATTTCTTTTTTTTTTTTTTTTTATATATATATATATACAGTTCTATACAAACCATCAAGGAGTGAAGACGTATATTGCTTCTTGATTAAATAGTACTAGCGCAAGTGTAGTGGCGAAATGGGTTCTGAAAGCGATGGTAGCTACAGCGAGATGGAGATAGAGGATGGTGGCCATTGGAAGAAAGTGAGACATAAACGGAAACCTAGGCATAGTCTCGAAAATATCTCAAAAAAATCCACTCCAAATTATTCACAAGATGAAATCAGAAACATCATATTGGGCTCTGGCCCCAGTACTATAACAACATCAAACATACAACAAAAAACAGTTACTGAAAGAAATCTGCTATCTGAAGCAAGTCCGCAAAAACAACTCACGAAAAACATACACAAAAACTACTCTGTTAAAATGCATGAAATTGCTAAAAAGGAATATAAATTCCTTTACTACATAAACTGCTCGTCAAAAAGCATGACCAGGATTAAACTTGCAAACATCTGGGAAAAAGAACAACCACACACAACTGATGTAATTGTCCAAACCAAAAAAGGATTCTTACTGAAAACCAACACCTCAAAGATGATTATAACTAACCACTTGGATATTCTGAAACAACAACTTGTAATAGAAAATTACACCGAAACACAAAACAAAGTTCACAATACCAGATCCCCTCAGAAAGCACCTGAATCATTTTCAGCAGTCATCAAAAATGTTGAACAAGAAATCGAAGATTCAGAAATCAGTGAGCACCTGTCAAAATTAAAACTGGAACACAGATACTGCAAACGCATAATTTCGAGAGCAACTGGACAACCTACTTCATTTATCAGAATTATCACCTCTAACATCCAAGTATATGAAAAACTGTTGAATGAAGGCCTGTACTTCAAAAAACAGCATTACCTCATTTACGTCAGCAGCCCTCCTCTTCCGACGCCGGTTCCCTGTAGCCGTTGCCTACAATTTACCCATGAGACCGAAAACTGCAATACCCAATTGAAGTGTAACAAATGCGAGGGAAACCACGCTACTACAAAATGTTCTACGAACCTCCCAGCCAAATGCATTGCATGTGGAGCTCTCGACCACCAAGCTTGGGCATTCAAATGTCCCAAACGTCCCACCCAACCAATTGAAGGAATCCCCAACTCTCCTATCAAACCGCTGAACAAGCCATCGAGGGATATAGATCAAGAACGCAAAAAAGGCACAAAAATACACACAACCATCACTATCCACGATCACATAGTAAATACTTACATCCGTAAACTAAACAAACCTGAAAACATAAATAGACAAGAGCTACTCCAGAAACTCAACCGCAGATTCAGAAACGAATTCAATATTGACACTCAAGCAACTTTCCCGGGTGGCAACAAGGCATTCATATTCATGTTCGACCTGGATACTCCAAACTCCACATCTCCAACTGAACCCACACAAGGCTCGATAACATCAGTTAACATTCATGCTCCTTAACTTATTGTATGCAAACATAAACAGCTATACACCAAAAAGGCACCTTATAAACAACTTCATAGAAAACAACGAAATAAATTGTACCCTTTTTGTTGAAACTAAAACCAAAGAAACCAGCAATACTCAATATAGGAACTGGAACATTATCCAAAAAAATGGACATATAGTTGATAATGTCAGGGGAGGAAGTTTAGTTCAGGTTTGCCCTACTCTGAAAATGAAAAAAGAAAATGCCCCAAGAATTAACAATCCACTAAGTGAGGCTCTCCATTTCTCTATACCCTTCAGAGAAGATAAATTACACATCTTTCTGATATATGTACATCATACTTCAGTAGAAATTGAAAATACCATATTCAACAAAGCTGCAATTTATAAATACTCCTTAATCATAGGTGATTTCAATGTTGACAGAACGAGAAAAAGACAAATTAAAAATTTCATTGAAAATTCAAATTTCAAAAAAGCGGAGACACCTCCCACCTTTTTAATGCAAAATAACCCAGACAGCACCCCAGATTTGATATTATTTACGAGCAATTTGGAGAACAGTATTGTAATTGTGGAGACTCTGGCAGACCTTGGCTCAGACCATCTAGCATTTCAGATATCGATTGAACTAAACAGACAGTGTCCTGCAGTAAATGAGTACAAATTAAATTTCAACAAATGTGACATCGAAGAAGTTAACGAAGACATGGCGAGATTTACGAGCATCCCACAAGAAATGAGTAATGAGATGATACAAGAATTCAACAAAAACTTGGAAGAATCTGTCAAAAAACACTCACCTAAAGTGGATATTAAGTTCTATCTACACGAGTTACCTCCCTTTATAATAAGTTTGATAAAAAACAAGCGCAGAATGTATCGAGAATATAAAGTATCACATGACCCTGCTATTAAACAACAAATCAACTTATACAATAAAGATATACATAAGCTTATTAAACAGTATAGAGAAAACAAATGGTTGGAAACATGTCAAGAAATTAACCAACAACAAGGAAGAAACTACTGGAACCAAATAAAAAAATGTTCCCGATATAAACCTCGTTATATAATCCCAACAATAGAAGAAAACGGTCAAGTATACAACTCGGACGAGGATAAATCAAACATCTTCGCTCAAGTATTTGAAGAAAATTTCACCGCAGCTGATAATCCCAACTTCGACCAGGAAAATTCAGATTTAGTCAACAGGTGGTACGAAGATTTCTTTGGTAGGGACATAGAGCTCCATGAATTCGAAACAAACGAAGAAGAATATTTCACTATCTTACACAACCAAAGAAATTCAGCTCCTGGCAGCGATAACATACCCTGGTCAATTCTGAAAAAACTCGATTACAATATTCATCTCTATATAATGAAAATTTATAACTTCTGCATCAAAAACCAATATTTTCCGGACATCTGGAGGAGAGGAACGATCGTGGTAATTCCTAAACCCAATGCAGACCATTCCAGAGCAAACAACTACCGACCAATCACTCTGCTTCCGGTTCTGGGAAAGTTCCTGGAAAAATTGATTAAAAACAAACTTTCGGAATTAGTGAGTCAAAAAATTCCACCATATCAATTCGGATTCAAAGAAAACTGTTCCACACTCCATCCATTAGTTATTCTGGCATCCAATGTACAAACAGCTAGAATCAACAACCAATGCTCTAGTGCGGTATTTCTAGACATTAAAAAAGCTTTTGATAGTGTCTGGCATAAAGGCTTATTATTCAAACTCCACATGCTAGAACTTCCTTCCTGGATGATACATATAGTGAATAGTTTCCTCTCATCAAGAAAACTCTCAGTGAAAATTAACAATGCTTTCTCCAACGAATTTTTTGCCACACAAGGTGTACCCCAGGGTTCGCCTTTGTCACCTTTGCTGTATAATGTATACTGTGCTGATTTACAAGAAATACAGCAGGTTGTAAATCAACAGACATACATTTTACAATATGCAGATGACACAGCATTAATATCACACCAGAGAACCAAAACAGCCGCCATTCAACAACTCCAACAATTAACAAACCAAATCCATACTTGGTTCAACAAATGGAGACTTCAAATCAACCCTCTGAAAACGGAAATGATAATTTTCAATCATACCCCATCCATCAACTCTCCCACTATCACTATCAACAATCACCAAATACATCCACGCTCCACTGTAAAATATTTGG